GAGCGGCCTTGGAATTGAACCACACAGGCAAACATTATTTAGTTCAGAGGTTCTCAGTCTTCCTAATGCTGCAACCCTTTAATACAGCAACTTATGTTGCGGTGACCCCAACCATAGCATTATTTTCATTGCTACTTCATAATTTTGCTATGTAATTTTGCTACTGTTATAAATCATAATGTAAAGATCCGTGTTTTCTGATGGCTTTAGGCAACCCTTCCAAAAGGTTCGGTCAACTCAGGGGACCCTCAGGTTGAGAACCCACTATTTAGTTGCTCTTTGCTTTTCTCTAGCCCTTTACAAGTTTGCAGTTTTGTAGAATGGTTTAATAGAGTTTTAAAATATCCTCCTTTTTGCTATTTTTGTCCACTTTTTGGAGGCGTTAACTGTGGAAACAATTATCCTCTTCATGACAAGGAGTTTTTCCTCCCTCAGCTCAGTCAAGCTTTGCGCATTTTTGACACCTGATGCGTAGGTAAGGCTCTGAGTTTGTTTGCTATTGATTCCAAGTGAGTCTCTTTCCCTGTGAGAGCTAAAGTGTGGATGCACACTGCCCTGAGTGCTAAACCGCAATCTGCTAAGTGTGTAGGAGGACACTAGGAGCTAAAGAGATTACGTCCTAGTAGTGAAAAATGTGAAAAATCTTCCTGTGGCATTACACTGTGGGGCACCGGGGGAAGGCTGGGTATGGATGTGGGGGCACCGGGGGAAGGCTGGGTATGGATGTGGGTTGAATTGCTTCTTGTGGCTCTAAACTGGGATCTTTTAGAGTGTGTGTGGCAACATATTTTTAGCTGACGGCCCCATGAATTTGAAAGCCTCAGGTTTTTACCAGTGCTCAGCAGGCTGGGGCACTGCCAATCGAGAGTATAAAATAAGCACTCTGATTTCATCCAGTATGTCTAACATGTGCCGAGGAGAAAACATTCTTTCAGCATTCAAAGAGGATAGTTTTTGTTGATTTTGCTCACAGAGGGATGGAGAGCATCAGAGTTGGCGGCTTCTGTGCTGACAAAATTGGCAATGGTTAATTGTCCATGGAACAGAAGACATTTGTTCTGTGGGAACTCCAAAAGGTCGCTACGTCACTCCAGGGCTGGTGAAGGTCTTTGGTTTCAGAGTCCGGTGAGCCTGTAGGACACAGCAAGCATTGACAGGTGGTTAACATTGATGTGGAAAAGCCAGGTGCAGCAAGATCACCATAGAGACCTCCACAGTGCACACAGCGGCTGTTTTATGAAACCCCAGGTACATTACTTTAGAAACATGTCAACTCCAAAACCAGGCCTGGCTACCATCTCCATTTCAAAGCTTAGAGAATCAAGATAGGGAGAGGTGAAGTCATCTGTTTCCTTGCAGAGGTGTGGTAGGAAGAGGACTGAGACTTGAATTTGAATGCCAAATGAGGAGACTCTAGATGAGCAACACCACACTATAGAGTCTTTTATAAGTAGGACTAGGGGAGGAGCTAGAGCTTGATGAGCAAAGCAGATGGGGATGAGAGGCAGATGTGCTGGAAAAGATGGAGAAGGAACCTTTAGCTGATTTCCCCCTTCGCCTTTCCATTCACCTTCAAGGGACTCTACTCTTGTTTTAGTTCTGAGCTGCTGCCTTCTGTTTCATTTTGGGGGGATTTTGTTTTCCAGAAGGAGGTACTAGGGAATGCATTTTAGATTATGTTAGTTTGTAATGACTGGAGTTACTTTTTACTGGGAACCCATAGGAAATATTTTTCTTCTAAAGATTTATTTTTATCTCTTAAAAATTAGGTGTACTGTATTTATCTGTGTTGAGCATGTGTACATGAGGTACCCACAGAGGCTGGAGCATCAAATCCCTCCAGAGCTGGAGTTACAGGTATTTGTGAGGCATCCATGTGGGTGCTAGGAACTGAACTTGGGGCTTCTGCAAGGACAATAAGTGTTCTTAGTTGCTGAGCCATTTCTGTATTACCTGTAAACTTCTAAGGAATAAACTATTTTCAAGATGCACAGGAACCATTTCAGAAAGTGGCACAGGAGCCATTTCAGAAAGTGACACGTCACTATTTATCGGGTGATACAGATGCTTTTCAACGGCTGAGCCTCTGCCCCCAAAGCTCACCGTGGATGGAAGGCAGCAACCCTCGAGTCTCCTGGGAAGCCCTTTTGAAGTACTGAAATGAGTCAAAGAGCGCCCAAGGAAGGAGAAACATTGCACAGATGGAGAATGATCTAAAGGGGGGCACAGCAGCATGGAGTCTCACGGTGTGCGGCTGAATTTAAAGCTCACCTCCGCCCATTCCTAGCTGCATGAGGAAGGGTACAGGAATGAAAGTCTCCTGCATAAACACATTAACTGTGCAGACGCCCGAGGACTAGGTAAGAAAATGTCAGCCAAAAGCATGCTTGCAAACCGGACGGTTTCCTCCAAAGTTGATGCACATTTCCTCTCTTTTGCTTCCTGGAGTATGAGAGATAAAGGGGGTGGGGAAGGCAAGCAGTAACAGTAGAGGAAGTCAGCTGTCCAGGTGAGAAAGAGACTCCATTGCGTTCTTGTTGCTCCTTGACACAAATCAACCTTGTTTGTCTCGGGTCAGTAGATGCCTGCTGTGTACTCTGTGGTTCTCTTGGGCTTGAGACAGACACCCTGCAGTTACATACCAACTTTGTGGGACCAGGGTCTTTATGCATTTAGAGCCTGGGCTGAGAATGCGGTGTCGTGGCACAGTACCTGCCCAGCATGCAAGAGACGCTGGGTCATTCTGTACCTGGAACCAAAGGAAAAAGCACAAAAAATAAACCTGGCCAGAGGAAGGCATGAAAGCGCTGCTGGCAGCTTCCTCTTGGTCTGTCTTCAAGTACAGCATCCAAGGAGAACTTCGGAAAGTTAAATTTTTTGTCATGCCAGTTTATCTGAGGACATTCTCTACGGAACGTCTCATTTAATCAGAACATAGTAAATGAGGAGATGTAGCACTGACCTCTGGCCATTGCTTTCTCTGATGAAAGGACTTGTGGAGTTTCAAAAATATCAAAATATAGGCATTGCTTATCTGGCTCTGGAGTGAGTCACAGCAGCTGAAGCCTCACAGGTGATAAGGGAAAACCATGTTTTTAAAATTTCTTTTACAGAGCTTCATTGGCCCTTCTAACCCTTCTTGCTATATAACCCTATTTGCAGCCCAGGCTGGGCTTCCAATTTGCTATGGCCACCCTGTATCACCCTCCCAAGCATTGAAACCATAGACGTGGGCTTCTGTGCCTGGCCCTTGGGTTGTAAATGTGGACTGTGAATTACATTTTCCTTTTACTAAGACAATATAGGGATGCCCAGGAACTCTGACCTTTGGTCTTTAGACTAGGCAGGCCACGAAGGAAGGTATTTGTCAGGACCAGCTTAGAGACTGAAAAGAAGTAGCTTTGAGTCTTTGATGGTTTTCCAGTTGCTCTGTAAATATCCTCTGTCCTCACCAACCTGTGCAAACAAATAAGGTTGGGGGACATTCATTACTGAATGTCTGTGGCCCTGCAGCTTTCTCAGTGCTGAACTTCCAGGTGTCCAGCCAAATTCCCTCACCTTGGGACAGCTTGTTCAGTCTGCCTTTCCCATGCTCGGGAAGGAGTTTGTACCCACTGGGGGCGAGTGTTGCTTCAGGACTCTGCCTGACTTTTGCTGTCAACTGCTGCATCTTCTAGGAAGAAAGGTCTTTCTTGTCGAGTCTACCCAGGCTTTCCTAGTATGTCAGTATGATGTCCTATCCAGGTCTACACTGCCAGAGCTATAGTTTGTTCAAAACAGAAAGATAAGGAATCTGCTTGTCCCTCACTCTGCAGACCCTCCACCATCTTGGTCCTTGCACTGGTTAAATGCATTAGTGATAACCCCGAGGACCCAAGATAATTCAGTGCTGCACGAAGGGAAAAGGATCAAAGGCTTCCTCCTGGAGTCATTTTTCCAAGAGCACGCCAGGTCTGAATTCTCTACGTCTCTCTCCTCACGTCTTCTGTCATCACCTGTCTGTTGTCTGATTTTGAGTCTGTTCCTGCCTGTCTTGTCAATCTGTCTGTCCTTGTGTCCATAACAAGGGGCTTTTTCTCGGTTTTATTGAACAGAGTATGACACAGAAAGAATGACACAGGGAAGGCATGAGGGATGCTTTTCGAAAATCTTTAGCAGAGTTTTATAGGGGATGATCCCAGCTGACCCAGATAACAACGTTATCAAGTGATATTGGTATGCCGCCTTCAATATTTATGGCTGATGGTTATTTCAGAAGAATGCTTTTGCTCTGTCTGTTCTTTTCAGCAAGCGATTGTTGTCATAGCACACATGCAAACGCACATACCTTGCTCTCTGGGTTAGGGCCATGGACCTGATTTCAGATTAAAGCTATACATTAGCTTATGTTGTAAAGCTGATTATACAGGAAATCCAAGGCAAGAAAGGTTGGTTGTGACGCTGTTCTTTTAAAGGCAGGCTAAACAAGCAGGCCGAGTACACAGAGGGACAGCAGCCTTAAGTCTTAAGTGACCTCAAGGTGTAGTATTAACTCTGGCTGTGGGTCCAGCAAAAGTTCTAGTTTCTTACAATGTAGGAGATGTTTTAAAAATATGATATTGCCACAGGCCTTGAGCTGTGGGGTGCACAGGTCAGCAGCATCTCCTAAAGGCGCCCATCAACATCCACCACCCTTCCCCTCACAAGGGGACAGCTGAGAAAAGATGCGCTCCCGAGGCTCCCAGCATCCCGCCACTGCTGGTTGAATGACTTGTACTTTACGTTACATAAGATGATTTGCCTGAGATACCGTTGCAGATCCCAGGAGGAAGCTGTCTCAGAATAGATGGATATGTGCGTGGACCTTCTATTTGGCCTAGCAGGAGAGGGCAGAGTCTGGCCGTTCATAGAGAAGGGATCCCTGGAGACCAGAAGACGGAAGCACAGTGTGTGTGCTTCTACACCGCAGTAAGGACACTGCTCTGCTTAGACTCACCCTGTCCCGCTTCTGTCTGAATCAGGACCTCCAGTTATTCACTCTGGAATCAAGGACCTCAAGGTCTTGAAAACAACCCAGTCCGGATTTGAAGGGTTCCTCAAGGACCAGTTCACCACTCTCCCAGAGGTGAAGGACCGCTGCTTCGCCACGCAAGTGTACTGCAAGTGGCGCTACCAGAGGCGGGATGTGGACTTCGAGGCTGTCTGGTATGGCGAACGAGGGTTAGAACCGAGAACTGGGGTGGGCTAATGGAATCTTGGATCAAAGGAGAAACCCAGAGGCCTGTCAACTCAAATTCCTACTGCTTCAGGACCGCACCCCTGGTGTGTGTGTGTGTGTGCGCGGGCCAGAGAGCAACTTATCTGCTTCTCACAAGTTATCCCCCTTGGTTTTCACGACCAGCCTCTTATTGGGACCTGAGACTTGCTTATTCAGCTAGGATGGCTGGCTAGGCCATGATCTGCCTGTGTTCTCCTCAGGACTGGGGCTAAATAGGCAGAATGTGCAGCTTTAATGTGGAGATGCAGGGGAGGTCCCCAGGTTCACAGGGCAAGCTAACTTCCCAGCCCCTCCTTTTCAAATTCTGTCAGTGGCTCTCAGACAGTAGAGTACACCTCAAGACATTGTGAAGATAAAGATCACTACAATCACTCCTGGGCTTCTGACAGAGTTTGGCTCTCTAACGACACCCAAGTAACATTTCTGCTGTTGGCCTCCATCAAATGAAGATAACACAAAGCTTAGAGCTGTGCAGAGGGGCCTAAACTAAGGTTTCCAGCCCCACCCAGTTCGTGAGAGACCTTCTTAGCTTTAATACAAAAATTTCCATCCCAGGAAATTCCATGTCCCTCTTGGTTTTGGGGGGAAAATGGTGACAACTGGTCGCCCACAGGCTAAGCTCCATGGTCTCTGATACTCGTAGAAGTGTTTTGTAAATGGGGCTGCGGGGAAAGCTCACTTAGCAAAGAGTTCGCGTTCCAAGTATAAGGCCCTGCATTTGAGTCCCAGAACCCATACGTGAAAAACAGGGATGATGGTGTTTATTTATCCGGCAGGGACACACACACACACACACACACACACACCCCTGCACACAGGAATACACACAAATATGCACATGCACACATGCAGGCACACACACACGCATGCATGTACCTGCACATATGAATTCACACAAATACTCACACATGTGGGCATGAACGCACGTGAGCACTCTCTCACACACACTGTAAATGACAGACGCTTAAGCCATGTACAGGTGTGCGTTTTATCACAACTCTGACAAGAAACAATTGGCTTCTGAACTCTCAGCGCTCACTTACTATTCCTTTGCTGAACTGCTAATTGTCAGACATTTCTGCCCTAGGATGAGCTGGAATCTTCCTTCCTTACAAAGCATCCTCCCACTGGTAGTTTTTACCTGCCATTATTATTATTATTATTATTATTATTATTATTATTATTATTATTATTATTTCAGAGGCTTTTAAATGCATGAAGAAGAACCTTACCCCAGTCCTCTTTCCCCTCACTTTTTTCAAGTGCTCTCCCTGGGTAGGGAAAGCCTGCTGTACTGGTGTTTAGAGCTCCAGTTCACCCACTAAAGACAAAGGAATTGGAGGTAATGGTTTAACTTGTGAGTTTGGGCCCATCGTGTCCAGATGGGGTGGGGATAATCTCGGCACTGCCTCAACTATACCAAAGGTTTGGTGACTTTAATGGAGTAAGGTGTTTGGCTTACAGAATGGCACTAAGTCCCTGAGGGAATAATTTAAGGAAGCGCCCATGAGCAGGGAGTCAACCTTACACATCTGCATACATGGTAGAAGATGGATGCTGAAATGCTATTTGGTCTTAGCATCGATCTATGAGGACAGGTAGATACTTAGTGTTTGTTTAATGCAGTGTGTGAGTGCGTGCGTGCATGCGTGTGTGTGCGTGCATGCGTGTGTGTGTGTGTGCATGTGTGTGTATTTGAGAGCGAGAATGGTGCAGAGAGATATGAAGTGGATTTTTCTTGTTTTCATTTCAGCATTACAGAATAATGTTCTTTCTAAAACCATCTATAAAATGTTTTTTAGGGCACCTCTGCTTCTTAGCTTTGTGAGGCATCCCTAGCATATTGTACGAGCTCTCCTTCAGTCTCTGCCTCTCTGTCCTAGGGGCACTGTCCGGGACATAGTCCTGAAGAAGTTTGCTGGGCCCTATGACAAAGGCGAATACTCACCATCGGTGCAGAAGACCCTCTATGACATACAAGTGCTGTCCCTGAACCAGGTGCCTGAGGTACGCTTTGTCACGTGCACTCTGAGGACTAAGAGGAACTGTGTCTCCTGTCAGCTCCAAGGCAGACTTGAGTGTTAAAATAGCAAAGTGGAAGACACACGAGAAGTGACATCTGCTGTTGTTCAAAAGCTTGTTATAGCAAGTGAGAGGAGAGCAGAAAACGGGAAAATCTGTTCAGCCTGAAAACACAGGCCGCTGTGACAGCGCTTCGGCGTTCTTAAAAATTCTTTGAGTTCCTTCAGCCTACCACAATTTTAAACTTCAAATTTAGGCCACTTCCATACCTTGATGGAGAGATAACTGGACAGTGGCTGTATGTTTCAAGGTAGAAATGATAGATGTAGAGAGATTTAAGCCATCCTTCCTTCTACCCACCCACCCATCCATCTCTGTTAATATTTGATATTCTTGGACATTATGCCTCTGGAGGGACCCAAGGGACACAAAGATAAGCCAGACATGTTCCTATCCTCAAATAATTCATCATTAAGTGGACAAAGAAACAAGTGAAAAATTTAAAAGATCAGCAATAAGTTATTATGGAAGTGGGGGGAACATCTAACTCAGGTGTAAACGGTAGGACTAGCTAGGTTTTCTAGGAGAGGAGTGTGCTGAGTCTTCAGAAACAAACCTGGGTAAGCTGGTTTATATTCAAGGGCCAAGGAACAGGGTAACTGTAGAGACAGGAGACAGCACAATACAGACATTTACAGTTAAGGGCCAACCATATATGACATGCTAGTTGGGAAGTATTTTCCTGTGTTTGGGCATAAGGTAGCAATGAGTCAAGAGGACATTTTAGGCCTATTTATAGTCTATGTTTTATTCTGAGAGCCGCTGGGGGCCACTGAGTATGGCTGGATTTGCTTTCTAGAGCAATCACTGGTAGTAGTATGATAAAAGCATGAAGGACAACAGGCTAGGAGGCTTGTGGGATGATTTTATAGAAGCATGGCCAAGAAAGCATGGGCCAAGGCCATGCTGAATGAAGAAAAGCATCACCTGGACCAGAAGGACTTCTCCGCCTTGGCCCCGTCCTGTAGCATCCTCCGTCTTGCTTTCCTCTGCCTGTGCCTGCCTCCGCTGGGTAGAGGTGGTAAATCTAAGGTGACAAGCTCTTCAGGTGCCCCCAGCTCTCCCAGAATTTTTTACCCAATAGCCTAGAGACTACTTTCCAGAACCTGGGAAAATCTGTCCTAGAGACCTATTCTATCAAAGGAGGCCCCTGCCAATGGGGCACATTCTTAGGCGTAGAAGTGGACTAGAGAAATGGATATGGCTTGACATACGAGAAGAATATCTTTCTTTATGATCCAAGAGACAAGATGGTCTGGCCCAAGGGATGGGCTGCCTTTTTCTATGATGTTAAGGTTTGGCACAGTATCACAAAGATTCAGAGTTTTAAATTACAACCCAACTTTATAAGTTTAATAAAAGTATTTTTGTCAATTAGAAAAGTAGACTCAAGTCCACTAAACCTTTATATCATATATATAGTTTGGCAATTTTACACTTATCCTAGGACCTATAAATATTAGAGATCATTCTGGGAGGGATGGAGGGAGGCCAGTTTCTGGAGGCCAGTTGGATGTCGAAAGGATCGCCCTGATTCCCACCTTAAGGAGCTTGAGCTCTTCAGAGAAGGTTTTATACTGAAGGGAGAGGAATGGACCTGCCATCAGTCTTACAGGAAGACTAGTGGAGGGAACTATGATTGGTAGCAGAGGAGCATGGGAGAGTACCTGAAGAGACAACCATGGTCATAGAAAATGGCCAGTATGAATGAGGTAGATGAAGATGGGCTCTCCAGTGCTCACGTAACACATGCTATTGTCGATTCCAGATTGAAGATATGGAGATCAGCCTGCCAAACATTCACTACTTTAACATCGACATGTCCAAAATGGGGCTGATCAACAAGGAAGAGGTAGGAGAGTTTAAAACACTGAACGCACATTTCTGCCCCATCTCCTTTCTGTCTCCTTGTCAACTTGGGACAACATCACTGCCTAAAACCTGTAGCAGCTGCTGGCGTGAGGGAGTATTTATAGTTTCCACTGATTTTCCTCTTTGACTCTGGGTCTTTCAGTGCCTGAGGCTGAGCACTCTGGAAGTGGATGAGTGATTATAGGGGAGGGACATAAGCTGCAGGGAGGAACAAAAAGAAGGAACAGTGTGAGCCCAAGGAAACAGCTCTAAGATCTCCTTGGGAAAGTGCCATAGAAGGTCACAGACGCATTATTCTTCCATCGGAAGTCAATGAGAAGAAGGGAAGACTGTATTTTCGTTTTCTTTTATCATGCCTACCTTTTGATTAAATAGTCATTTCAGTAGCATACGGTACATTTTGGAGAGATGAAAGTGTGTTTGTGTTACAGATGGCAAGAATAAGAAATTCATGTTTTCAAAGGGAACTCTTGTCTAAGGAAATCTTCAACCCTGACTTCCTTTTAGCTGTGACAAATTGTCTGACGAGGCTGCCTGGAGACCTGATTGATGGCCTCTGTGGTCACTTCCTGGGAGATCAGAACTAACCCTACTCCCATGGACATTTTCAGTGATAGGCCTTTTGACCTATCTGTGTCATCATTTTTTTGGGTAACTGCTTTTAGTGTGTGTGAGGGAGAGAGATAGGGAAGAGACTGTCTATTTGGATGGACAGTATCCCTTCCTCCCTTCCTTCCTCCCTCTCCCCCACACCCACCGTGTGTGTGTGTGTGTGTGTGTGTGTGTGTGTGTGTGTGTGTGTGTAAAGCCTATGCCTGAGCAAAGTGCCCTCACACTGTGGGGAATAGCTTCAGTCTCACACATTTGGACCCTCACCTATATGTATACCATGTGAAGGCAACATAGGAGAAGCAGGAAGCTGAGGCACAGTGAGGACAGCTGGGGAGTGACAAGTGACAGAGTGGGAAGACAGAAGGCCTCTAAAACACAGCAGTCTGGAACATTTAGCTTTGCACTCACAGCCCTGTGGACCTCAAAGGCACTTCAGGGCATGGCCGAATTATAGCTATGGACAATGATTGATGTCCAGAATGAGTTATCAAAAAATGTATTCACTGACTTTTAAGAAGAAGGATTGTAAAATGCATTTAGAAACGTCTGTATCGACATGAGTAACAAACAAACAAAATGCTCCTTGGTGGCTTGGTCAGTTGACCACTTGTTGTGCAGGCATGAGGACCGGAGTTTGGGTCCCCAGCACCATGTAACAGGCTAAGTGCTGTAATGTGTTTTGCTGTAACATGTGTCAATAGTTACAGCGCTGAGGAACTGGAGACCGTAGGACCCTTGGACCTCATAGGCCAGCCAGTCTAGCTGAACTCAAGCTCTAGGTCTGTGAGAGACTCTGTATCAAAAATAAAATAAAATAATAAAATAAAATAAAATAAGGTGGAAGGCTGGGAGATGGCTTAGCATGTAAAGGTACTTGATACACAAACCTGATGACCTGAGTCAGAACCCTGGAACACATATAAAGGTAAAAGAGAGATGCAACTACACAAAATTGTTTTCTAATCTCCACATGAGTGGTGTGACACACAAGCCCCTACACACACACACACACACACACACACCAAATACATACATATGCCACTCACTTATACATAGTCACACATACATACAATAACCCAAAACCACACACAAAACTCTCAAAATTCTTATATTTTCTAAAAAACAACTCACCACCCACGTATTGCAAGGAAAACCAGGCACTGCTAGACTGGCAGAGCAGTTTTCTCTTTGACAATGGCAACATCTTTCCTTTAATATGTGATCCTATAAAGAAGAAGGCTGTCCTCAAATCTCTGAAGTTACCCTGTGGTTCCTCTACAGGTTTTGCTGCCTCTCGACAATCCCTATGGCAAAATTACTGGGACAGTCAAGAGGAAGCTGTCTTCAAGGCTGTGACATTATGGCTCCACTCAGTTGTAATGCTGAGGAGTACTGTGTGGTTACCTGCAAAAGATATCAACTTGGGATACTGATTGCTTCCTTCTGTATGAAATCATTGCTTTCTTTGTTCCTAGTTCAACAAGGCATTTTGGGGATGCCTGTATTAGCAGGTCCAACATGCTCCATGGCTTTGGGCAGTTCATTAAAAATTACTGGGCAGTGTTAGAATCACAAGTGAGATTTCTCCTTGGTGCTCTTGCGTCCCCTGCCTTAGAATCAGTCTTTTGAATTAGACCATAAGAAAATAATGATGAAGTAGTGTTGCTGCTACATTGATTAATTTGAACACAAGTTCAAGAAGCAAACACTGTTGTCATCTTAGTGATAAGTCTGGGTAGTGCTGAAAATATAACAAAATCTTGAAAAAAAATCACCATAGTGACTTCAACTGATGGAATATTTGTGTTTTTAAAAAGCCCTGGCATTTAGACAATAGCTCAGTGTGGAGGAGAGAAGGTGGGCCTGAAACTCCAACCCTAGCTGAGGAGTTATTGGCATTTGATTGCTGCTGGAAGAGAAGGAAAGTCAGTTTTGTTTAAGAGTGTGGCGCATGGTATGTCAATCGTACTGTCGGGCAGCAGCCTCCACGCCTAGACGCAGTCAGCTTAACTGCCTTCAGTGGGACAGAGAGAAAGAACATGCAGTTTGGTGGGTGAGGAAGACCTGGGAAGACCTGGGATGTGAGGCGAATATGATCAAAATAAATTGTATAAAATTATCAAATAAATAAAAACATTATTTAAAAAACTAAACATAGCACTTTTAGGTTCCTCTACCAGTTAGCATGAATAAAGACAAGAACATTTCTAGTGTCTTCTAAATAAAAACCTTTGGCATATATCATTGATGATTTATGTCTAGCCTAATAATGCTTTTATGGCCTTGTGATACTGCTTTTATGATTTTTGCAACTCTTAGAGAATACTTAGTACATACTAGGACATTAAACTAAGTATATATTGTTATTCCTTGAATAATGTGTGTTCTTCTGGTGTAAAGAGCCACTTTTTAATAAGTGGTGAGCCACTTATTAGATAGACAGATGACTCTGTACATGGACAGAAGGCTGTACCACACTTCTCTGAATTTCCAAACAAAGACTTCTGGACAACAGATGCTGGGAGCTGGGCACAAGATGTTCTGTGTCCTCTTGGAAAGGGCACAGGAGAAGAAAGATCAATCAGTTGGACAAGGAAAATGCCACACATTGAATTCATGTTCCAAAGCTCATGAAAACCATGAGACCTTCATAACCAAATGAGTGGGGATTCAGAAACAGAAGCCCATGTCAGGGCAGAATGACCGAAACAGAAAGTGTTGATTGTTTCACATACACACGCATTTCCCCTCCCTTGGATTCAACCGGGTGACAGTGATGCATTGCAAAGGAGCCTTGGTTTTCTACCCCAGACGTGTGACCATGAAGTCTGCAGACTGTCTTGTTTTGTGAGGAATGTTTCGTTAGAGTTAGGATGTGTACTGAAAACCACCCTGGAGTTTTTTCTACTCCTTTTGGCTGTGAAAAAGAGGGTAGGCCTGAACTGTAATCATCTGTAAAGACTTTTGTAACACATTGCTGATCAGTTTGCTCTGGGTGACTACAGGGTACTCCTCTAAGCAAAACTGCTTTCACAAAAGTCTCTATTCTCTCTCTAGATCCTTCCCTGACCCCAACTCAAGGCTTTCCTGCAGGACTACCATGGACTGAATAGCTGCCATGCTGTTCAGGGCAGCAGCTCACATCTGGAGCTTTGGGCCCTGCCAGCCTAGATTCTGATTGAGGCTTGTTTAATACCATCTCACCCCATAGAGAAAGACTTGCAAAATCATATCCTGTTCCTTTCATCTTGTAATAAGCTCATATCATTCTTTAGTTTTCATAAACTGGCTTCCCCTTTTTTTTCTGCCCTGCATTAAATGAATTACTTTTTTGAGGTAGTGTTTTACATATTTGTCATTGAAATAGAATTTATCTTTTGTCAATCACTTACAGGTTTTAACTGTAGAAATTTGAAACTTTTCTTTTCCAAACCCTTCAACATTTTTTGTGGGAAGAACACTTGGCTGCGTGACGTTTGCCCTGATAAGTGGTCTTTGCAAACCTTTGTAACCTCTGCCTCCATGCCTGTGTCTGGGAGGAAGCCAGACATATTTCCAAAGTCATGTATTTCAAGTCTTCTCACCAGGCACATTCCGGCTTCCAAAATCCACCAGTTTTAGAACTCTACCTTTTCTGGTTTTCATGGGCCTTGTTCTGGCCTTTCACAGAGCAGAGTGGCCTTCCTTTCTTGTGCTTGCTTTATCTTCATTTTCGGTTTCTTTTTAGTAGTTATTGGAGAGTTTCATATAACATTTTTTAATGTATACCTCTGTTGAGATCCGGGCCAACCCAAGGCTATCCCTGAGGCCCTGATATGTGGAGAAGGAATGCAGTTTCTTTTCAGAAAACAGCAATATGCTTGAGAAGGCCAGCAATAGCCTGGGGCCAGGGCCTTTGGGGAGATGCACTTCAGAATCTGAGAACCCAACTCTTTTCACCCTAAAGGGCTGTGGCTATCAGTCCCAAGGCCACTGTGTGCTTGGTCTGTGACACACTTGAGATATCCTGTGTTCCCTTTGTACAACATTGCTTGATTAGCTTCCTTCTGACTTTGACCCATTGTATGATAGCTTCTTGCTGACTCTGTCCCATTTTCTCCTGGAAATAGTGCATAAGATGTGTATTTCTCAATAAGATTGCTCAGTTTAAGACATAGCTAGTATGAAGTCTCCTGGTCCCAACTGTCTGCCTTCTTTATCTTCTCTCACTGGCCCTGCCCCTGAGACTGTCACTGAAGGGGACTGCACCGACCCACACATCCAGGTCACCTCCTCCTCCTCTAACTAATCGATTCCAAGTCATGTTCCTCCCAATCCTGTCTTTTTGAAATCCTTCAAAACAATATTCTTAGAAATGTGGCCTTCCAGTGTGGTATTGATGACTTACCAGTGGCTACACTCTTAGAAAAAAATTCTCTCCCTCCCTCAGTAGCTAATAATTCCATTAGTGCCATGAATATGGGGTGGAATTGTGTGCACAACTTAGCTACCTCTCCATTCTGGTATTTTGTCTGGTTTTGTACAGGTATTGTGACTGCCACACCACCCTGTATTCAGAAGATAATGTTTCCTGGTAGTTACCTGCCACATTAGATTCTTACCATCTTTCTGCTGTCTCTTCCATCTGAGGGATCCATGAAGCTTGGGAGTGTAATATATATATATTCCTTTTAGGGATGAGAATTCGGCAGTCTCTTATTCTCTACACTGTGGTATACTAATTACCATCTATGTAAGCAGAAGCTTCTCAGATAAAGAATAAGAGATTCATTCATCTGTGGGTATAATGATAAGCCATTTTGAGCAAGTTTAATATTCTGTCCATTTAGCAGCACAATAGTAGAAGGTTTTCCCCTAGGGCCTATGTCATTCTGTGTTCCACACTGCTGCTGCTGGCCTGCCATGCCTGAAGGGCAGAATGGTCCAGGTTCTGCTGGCTTCTGGGCAGTAAATGGGTGGAACCTCAGTCTCAGGTTCTGCTTTTCTCAGGAGCAGCTGGAGGGCTTCGAACAAGGTCCGAAGTCCATGGGTAAGGCTGTTGGATCTCACTGCGGGTGTGGAAAATAGTTTTCCACAGGGTGTTATGTCTCTCTCTGTGTGTGTTTTTATTGAGACAGGTTTTCCCTGTGTAGCCCTGGCTTTCCTGGAGCTCACTCTGTAGACCAGGTTGGCTTTGAGCTCACAAAGATCCACCTGCTTCTGGCTTCTGAGTGCTGGGATTAAAGGTGTGTACCACCATTGCCCAGCTACAGTTACCTCTTTTTAATGAGATTGCCTGTACTAGCCGGCAGCGGAAACTTGGGTGTTCCAAAGCCCATCGTGGAGATGCTAAAGCAGTGTTGCAGTGCTTTGGTGAAGCTGCAGTGCTAACCAGCAACAGAGGATGCGGGTGGATGCCAGTGCTTCTGCTTCACTGGTGGTCAGCAGCTCACCTTCCCGGCCTGCCAATAGTCAAGCTCTGGGTGTCCAGCAGCAAATTCTTCAGGGAGGAGGGGAGCCCGTCCTTCCCCAGAATAAATGACTCAGTCTTAGTCTTGGTGAAAAGATGATGGCAGCCCACTTATTACATGTGAAACAGGGACTTATAAACCTTGGACAGTGGGAGGGGTTTCTGGGGTGAATGTGCTTAATTTGCTGGGGCTAAGGGTGCTAAGGTTACTTCATTTACATATAGTGGTACAGTCCTATCATAAGAAGGGGAGCACAGTACTTAATTATTCTGTAGTAGTCCAGGTACTGTTAAAGGTCATTTGTTGAAAGCTAAGGTCTCAATAGCATAGGGTGGGGTATTTCCAGGAATCCCCAGACACACACTGGTTGGGTTTCTTATCAGGAAGGGGTTGGGCCTGTAAATTTCTCTGAGGGATATATGACTCTCTTTAGAGGGTCTGAGGTTTCTCCATCCAGACATTCAGTGTGATCTCTCCATCTAAGATTCTTAACACAATGAAATCTATAAAGGCTATTTTTCCCACATAGGTTCCACCAATTAGGATGTTGACTTTTGCATTTGGGATTACCAACCCAGTACAGTAGTCTTCATGATGGCAGCTCTTCTGGAGTATGTGGGTTGTTACACAGATGCTCCAATTCCCACCAGATCCGTAGAATGACCATTCCTCTTTCCATTTGCTCAGGCATCATATAGACACCTGTACATTCATGAAGGGCTTGGACTTTGAGTCCAGATGGTGTCAAGTTTCAGGATAGGTTCTACCAATACCTAGCTGTGTGACCTAACCAAGTTATACTCTAAGTTTTGGAGTTGTTTCTGAGATAGGAGTGATCTCACAGGACACAGGGTAACAGAGTTATCTGTGGTGGCACCTGAGTTAGAATGCCTTTGATTTCATGCAGCTGGATATCTGTGAGTGTCTTTGGTATAAAGGACATTTTGTTTGCTTCCTAAACACAGAGATAGGCTGTCCCAGACTGACTGGCGACTCAGGGGTAGTGCCAAAACTCAGGCTTATCCAGCTCTGTTCTACCATCTTCATCCTTAGAGTGTGATAAGACCCCATGACCACAAGATGGATAACAAAGAGCATGCTAAAGATGATGGAATGTTACCCACCAAAGAACTCATTCCCTCCAGAGCTACAAGTTGTGGTCCCCAGTGGCTTATTATAAAATCCCTCTACAGAAGTTGCCTTAGGCAGAAAGAAGTGCTTTCACCCAAGTTTGTGTGTATTTCCTGGGAGCATTTCACAGCCAATATCTATAAGTTCAGAAGCATGGGATCTTCATAGTCATATTCAACCTCCCCACAGTAGAGACTAGTATTGAACGGGACTTTGATGTGGTGGCCAATACTAACTTGGCAACAAGTCAAATACACTGAACTCTTTTCATTTAAAAAGGAGCAGTGACTCATCTTGACTAAAATGGATACTTGATCATTTGCCATCCACAGGGACTCAGCTGGTACCACAATCCAGGAGATTCCAGAATTCTACTTAGACCAGGAGGGTCCCATTTAAAGTAAAGGCAATGAGACCATCCGTAAGTGGCCATATGACCCAAAAGCTTTGTCATCTATGCAGCCATCACAATGCTTCAGGTACAATAATACAACTGTGGTGCCAATTTGGAGATGGTACCTGAAAACAAGTTAGCCTCTCAACACTTGACTTGTGTTTTGTTCCAAGCAGGAAGAACACTTGGGTTTGGTAGCTTAAGGTGATAATCAGAAGGATCTACTTACCTTCCCTCTTAGAGACTCATTTGGGAAATGATGCTTCCCAAGTCTCAGTTCTAGATTGTATGACGTTCCCAGGCTAACACTTGACCGGAGGACATAACAGGAGTGATTGAGACTCTAAGTTATAGAGTCGAGTCATGCAACCAGCAGACTTGGCACTTTTCAAGAAAAGCAGCTGTTCCTAGCATACTTCAGAGAATCATAGTCAAACCAAATTCTTAGAACTCTTATTAGAGGGAAAAGATGCTGTAGCAAGTGGTGCACCATTGAGTGGCAACTGATGTGGAGATGCACGCTCCACTGCATTCTTAGAACACAATGGAATTTGAGGGTGGAAACAAACTTGTAGCTATTTTGGATACATGAAGAAAATGAAGATACATTTTAGATACATGAAGACTTGTACAAAGTAGACTTGTAGACAAGTCAGAAGTGGGCTTGAAGCCAGAACCCAGGTCCCTGACTTTTAATTCAGTATTCCTCCTACACTGGGACTTGTAGCTCTGAAAGCTTGCCCTTTTATCTGTGGATGGATTAAGGCTGTGTTCTACAACTCTTCATTCTGCATCTATACCATAGAAGACTTGTAACACGTGGACGTTTTGGTGGTGGGGAGAAGTCACCTCGGCATTTACAATGCATTATTGAAGTCCACCCAAACAGACAATTAAGTAGACCTACTGTCAACCAAATTGGCTCAAATTAACGGGTACATTTTATTCAGATATTTAATTTAAAAAATGTTTTGGCTGCTTGCTGTTGACTTATGCCCACCTTCATTACAATCAGAGAAGTACTATAAAGTTAATTTCACAAATGCATTTTAAATGCTCACTTCATATTGGAGATGAGATACCGTTAAATAACCAGGGCCTCAAATTAATCCCTCTATGTTCCAGAGTCCAGTACAAATTTATGTGTAGTTCCCTTCTCAATGTTTACTTTAACTGATTGTAACACCTTTTAAAGGAACTTAAATGATGTGTTTTTGGCTTTATTTGCATTGGTTTATGTACCCTTATGAGAATAAAACATTTAAAACTATACAATAGCCTAAAGGAATTAAAACTACCTCTGCTCTTAGCCTCAAGGAGCAATATCTGGGGAAAGCCCTTGTTAATTCTGTGATGATAGTATACTTGAAGTAAGGGAGATCTTAATAAAACTCAGTAATATTTTGAGTGCACTTTTGGGTGTGAGTCCAATGACTGCTTAGGGTGTTCTCATTCAGTGCCCCACTGACCTCATGGGACTAGTGTTAGAACTGCTGTCTTCTCTAGTATCTGTCCTGGTGCTCCGGATTAGTTGGACCCATTGCTGCCTGAAATAGAGGCTGTGGTTCTCCCTTTCCTTTGGTGATGGCACTGCCGAATGCCTCAGCTCCTGTTAAAGGGCTGTGTGAGGACTGCCAGTTGAAGCCCAAGTCTTCCCAGCACAACCCCTGTACAACTCCCCCACACACAGGTATCTTACCTGGAGCCATTGGGCTCAGCCAGAGTGGAATCCAGCTACCCCAAACACCAATTCTTCAGGCAGGACCTGCTGGCTCCTTGCTGAGCTTGGCTGGCTGTTCCTCAGAATACGTTTATAATCCCGTAAGTCCTGCAGTATTTTCAACTCAGTTGGTTTCCAGTATGTAGAAGCTGAGTGGAATCCATTGAGAAAAGTGTATGAGACACAATTTATCGACCGCCTCTGCTGCCTGTGACTTACAAAGATGATGTTTAACACAGGTCATCTTGCCAGAGCTGGAGATCCCTGTGGCAAGCTTGCTTGATTGCTTAATCTCACTTTTCTGGAAGCTAAAGGCCTCGAACCCCAGGTGCCCCATGGATGGTACTCAAGAGACAGCATAACCTCTCTTGCTGCACATCCCCCTTAGCTCCTGGTGCAAGGATCTGGCTTCCCAGACGATGTAATCCCTGCAAGTGACAGGTGCATTCAGCATTACTTACCACTTGCCCAGGACCCCATGTCCAGTGAGTGGTGGGCTGGATGCCAGCTCAAGCCTGACTAGTACAATCCAGGCTTCTGCCCACAGCATTCTTACCAGCCTTGCCTGTCTGCTGTTGCTGAGGACAGAGACCAGTGAGCTTACTCTACAGAAGAGGGGTGCATTTTCTAGCTGGAGACCACTTTATAGCCCAGGCTTTCCTGATTGCCTCTTAAGGAAAACCATAAAGGAGTAACCTCACCTAACAGGCACAGACTTTCGCTCCTGGCTTATGGGTAGCCAAAGACTTCTGTGTCATTACTGGCAGTATGCTTCACCAGTGGACATCCCTGCTAGTCTATACTCAGCTCTCCCCAAGTGATTCTAAGAGGCACACTGTTACGACCACCAAATGGACTTGGATTTCATAATCTTCTGATATCATACTGCTACAAATGGGCAGAAATGGGACCCTGGTTATTTAATTGCTCACCGAGCTCCTTCATGGAACAGGCTGTTCATTAGTGTGTACGAGTGTCTTCTTCTTCCTAGGGTTTCTTTTGCCTGTTTAGAAGCAGAATGAACAAGTTTTTCCTAAGAGGCACTTCTGCTCTGAAGCAGTCAGCTCCTTGAATATTTAATTTCACCCCCCACATCATTACAGAAAAGTATTTCATGGCTCTAGGCCCAGAACTGACCCCTGCAGATCCCATTTGCAAGGATTGTCGAAGGCAGATAAATCACTACCAGTAAAGACTTTTTTCCCTTTGGCTTTCAAATCTGGAAACGGTTGGGCAATAGTGGGTCATTAGACTTTTGAAAATTAAATTATTCTCCCAAATACAAATTTCACTAATGTAGTCAAAAGATGATTTGTGTTCCCAACAACATATACTAAACTCCAAGGACAAAAAAAAAAAAACCTATATTCATGTAGGGTATTTGTTAAAAACAAAATGAAAGTATGCCAGAAATTGACCTCTTTTTCTCCACATTCATGTCCATTAACTATCCATTACCAAAAATTATTCTCATGAGGAGTTGGAGGGAGGAAAGAGAAAGGAGGAAATTATGTAATTGTATTTTAATTAAAATTTCTTTAAAAATAATGCTCATGCCTGCTGCATGCTCAGGTGCAATGTGCCAGCTTGTTTCTTTTCAACTAAATTGGCTTGCAATCCTTAGTTCCTGAAATTAACTTAATCTAAGGAGGCTCTGTGGGTTTGTGTGTGTGTGTGTGTGTGTGTGTGTGTATGTGTGTGTGTGTGTTATGAAAATAGCGTGGGGCAGAGCTAGTATCCAAAACTCAAATGCAGCTTTCAAATGTGGTGTTGCGAGGGAAGCAGAATGGCAGGAACTTCCTTGAATCCCTGAATCTGATATCCTGTTCTCATATGTGGTCAAAATTAATATTCATCCGTTTTTTACACATATCTTTTGTTAGAAACTATATTGGCATCCAGGCAGGCTTTCCCCACTGCATACATGGCATGTGTTTCCAAATGGCTAGTCCATTTGGGACCAGTTTTAGTGCAAGGCCACACTTACAAAAATTATGTGAGAAATAAAAGCTCCCGCCTGCAGAGCCTCAGCTACACTGCTGGCCTGTTTCGATGCTAGTGCTCGTCTCTGGATGAGGGGCACTGAGTGCCTTCTGTGGCTGCTAAGGTGCCCATTCACTCTGCCCGCCCCGGGTCCTTTACTCAGTGTGTGAGAGCCGTATGTGAGCTTTAACATCGATTTTCCGTAAAAAACTGTCATCAGAAGCTGAGAGATGCTTTTTATAGTTTTCCATTTGCTTTTCAACAATTTCTCTGTCCTCAATACACACAGAGAAATCCTATGCTGAGGCGGAGTTAGGATATGCCAAGGTCAGCTTGGAGAAAAACAGAGTTAAAATCCCTGACATGCAGCATGTTTAGTGACCCGCGGATGGCAGCGATTACAAGTTGTTCTTCCTGAACAGCCCTCATTCCTCATGTGCATGAAAAGAAAACATACCCCACGATTTAAGAAAGCGTGAGCAAGAAACAGGGCCTACGTTTTAACGGCCATCCATGCAGTCTGAGGGTGCTGTAGGCTGCCTTCTTAGCACGAGGAGCTCTTTTCATTACCAGGAAGGAAATCACATAGAGTATCCAGTTGTTCCGGTTTGGTGTTAGGCTTAGAGATTTGACACCTTCAGGTTGGGATTGGCTGAGGCTCTGCTGCTCAGTTACTGGGGTTTCCTTTTGTTTTAGGTTATAATTTCGCCATAAATAGGGTGTAGCTCACTACAGGGAGAGACCACCTGGGGTCAGATTTTATTGCTCATATAGGTTGGGTTAGAGCAAATCTATTTCAGTTTCGAAACAGTATAATAAGGCTCGGGCTCTTAACTAAGTTCCCAGATTTCCAGTAAAGACTATTGTCCTTTGCAGCTCACAAATGGCAATGAGACTGGATCTGGTTAAAAGACATAAGATGGCATTAGAAATGTCCTAAAGAAGCAGTTCTACTCCCCCTTCCTTCCCTCTGCTGGTTAGAATTCATGAAGTGATGGCACTGCCTAAGACAGCAATCGTGTGCTGTACAATCAAGAAGCAAAAAGATATGAGGAGCTACGTGCCTAACCTTGCCAAGGGCACACTCATCGGTTCTCCTGCCCTGAACATTTAGCGAGGGGCAACACAGACCTGGATCTTGTTACACTAACTAGTCAGGAGGGGTGAGATGGGTACTTTCTGTCACTCACTCATAGAAACCTGTTTCAATTATCATAGAGGTGTTAAAGCAGGCGAGGTCTGGGGCATTCCTTGAGCTATCTCTTGAGGTATGTAAGTTCAAATTCCACTAGGATGTCACCATTATGAATTCCTTTATCTGAGTGTTAATCAAGTTCTTCCTTCCATTCTCCGCTTCTACCTCTCCACGTCTCCACAGGCTATTCTTAGCTGCCTTTGCCACTTTTCAGTGCTTAACTGTGGTTTGCCTATTGTGCTTGTGTCCTCTGTAGGATAGAAAATGTCCCCATTCCCATTTATAGTGCAAAGCAAAACATTGAAGTCCTAGATACCCCATAGACTCCTTAACTGAAGTAATTTGACATGCATTTTTTATTTATTTGCAACCCAGGCTAGCCTCAAATTCACTGTATCAGCCCAGGCTGGCTTGAACTCCGGATGCACCTGCCCTTACTTTCCAAGTGCTAGGGTTACAGATATGTATCACTGTGCTTAGATTATGTGGTTCTGGGAATCAAATTCAGGGACCAGTGTGTACCAGGAAGGCACTGTACCAACTGAACTATGTGGCCAGCCTAGAATACAGTTTTTAAATTTTGAACTATCCCATTTTCTAGGTCTTTCCACTCTTGTCTTTAGATTTTATGTCTTTAGGGCTGGAGAGCTGGCTCAGTTAAGATCATTAGCTGCTCTTCCAGAGAACTAGGGTTTGGTTCCCAGCACCCACGTGCTGGCTCACAACAATCTGTAACTTCAGTTCCATGTGATCCGAAGCTCTCTTTTGGCTTCTGAGGGAACAAGGGATACATATGATACCAAGAAATATATGTAGACAGAAAATATAATAATGAAAAGTAAATAGGATTGATTTTATGTTCTTCAGAAAAATGATCCCTATGGAGCAACAGGGTGCTCACTGAAATAGGGAGAAGCAAACTCAGAGTCCCATGCACACCCTGCTAAGCTCTGTGTCAAGAAATCATGATAGTGACAGGCAAGTAAAAATAATCCTTGGTTAAAATACCACCTAAAAGTGATTGCTAGATGATAGGAAGGGATGAGATCTGCTGGGGTAATTTAATTTATATGAGGCTCAATCTATATATAGCTCCACGTAATTTATATAGTTTTATTTTTATTTAACATTTATTATTATTATTATTATTATTATTATTATTATTATTATTATTATTGGTGTGTGTGTGTGTGTGTGTGTGTGTGTGTGTGTGTGTGAGTATACCCAGGGTTTAAACTCAAGTCCTCAAGTTTAGTAGAAACTACCTTTCCACTCTAAGCCATCTCACATTCACTTTAATCTCTTCTTTTTAAGGCTTATCTTTCTCCCTGTGTTTTGAAGATGATATTAATCTTTAATCCTCAAAGAAGGGACCAAATGAGAAGAAACCATACTTGGCGAAATGAAGGGGTGTTTTATTGCAATTACAAAGCACCAACTCAATGAGGCACGGATGTACATCACTCAATAAGTGTCTCTTTGAACAGAGATGTAGCAAGCCCACTTTTTCAAGTTCTGAAAGACAAGTACTCAAACCTGGGACCAAACACAACATAGGACAATTAAAAAATATTACAGCATTATGGAGGACTACATATATAGAAAAATATTCTGTGCTATTAACAAAGCTTTGGGATCTATTAACTCTTGGCAAATCTCTTAAGCAAGAAATTAATATAAATACAAACCATAAAGCAACAACAAAACAAACAACAACAAAAAAATGCTTTCTTCAGCAACAAGGAACCAATGTAAGCAGGAAATAGTCTTGCCCCCCATGACAGTAAGTTGATTACAATGGATATCTCCAGTGCAAAACAAGTTTCTCTCCTCAGAGAGAGTTCTGTTCCTAAGGGGGCCTGGCTCATGTTCGAATCAAACACAGCACAGCATATCCCTGTGAAACCTTAACAAGGTCAAGTGGAGCACCCTCTACAAAAAAAGGGTGTTGGCAATTCCATCCAAGGAATATACATCCAGGAACAGAGTGCCTCAGGAGAGACAGCAATCCCTCTCTCCTCTCTTCCTCCCCCAAAGGGTTTTGTTTGTGCTCATTTCTGATTCTATAAACCAAAGACACTCATTCCACTTCTACCCTCTTTATTAAGGAGTTAGTGGAAAACTATTATGATGAAATAAAGAAAGTTCTTGTAATTTCAAAGCCCCTGAGGTGGGGGCTACCTAAAAGTCAATGATGACTCAGCTTAACAAGGACAACCATCTCATGTCCACTCTGTTTATGCTCTTCCAGGCTGGGTCAGGCCAGCTGATGGATTGCCTTAGTCTATCCAATAGGATAACACTTTTTTTGGATTAAAATTCTTTACATATGCACATGTATGTATTCTGTTTTTGAAGTTTCACAACATGAAACTAAATTACATCATTGTGTATTTTGTTCTGAGGACTGAGTCCTCAACGTGATTTTTACTATGAAGAGCTGTTTTTTAAATGCTTGGTCTGAAGAGGTTTTACATGATACTCATAGATTTTCAGAGCAGGCCCCAATTTTAACTGAAGTCCTGTCAACACGTCATTTCTCGTCATCAAAAGCAGGGATTTTCCATCAATTTCCTAGAATGGAAACAGAGGAGAAGACCAGTGTGTAAGTAAGCTCAGAAGTCCCTAGGGAAGGAAGATAAAGGAAAGGCCAGAGGCAGAAGCTACACCACTTGTCCCCCAGCGAATAACTACTGCCGTGGTGTCAAAATGGAATCTTGGAGTGTGTCTTCCATCTTCTATCTCCATTTTGAGATTAAACACAGTCTGTAGCTGGTGTTGTTTTCATGATCTTATTACAAATCTTAAATAACTCAAGGACAAGTTTATAACAGTATTACCCACCTCCGGGAGCAGAAGTTACTTCTAAAAGGCATACAGACATTTTATCTATTCATAAAATACATTAAAATTTGCTAGGATTCCTTAGATAGTTATAGAGTTCTAAAACAACTCTATAAATTACAACAGGTAGAGATTATCATCTTTAATTTACAGGTAAAACAAGAATCAAGAAAAAATATTACTGGTTTGAGACAAAAGGAATTAGGAAAGTGGAACAAAGACATGAACTCATGTCTGCCTCCCGCCTTTGTTTACCTTCCTGCTGTCCCCCTCTCCTTTCTCTTCTCTCTCTAGAGCCAGGGAAGGAACCAGGGGTTTAAGGGCATGCTACCATGGCCATCATTCTATCCCAAGTCGCTAGTCCCAGCCCCCTCTGCTTATTACTCACAAAGTTTGTTATCTAGATGGTGCAATTGAGTCTTTCTGGAATCTTGCTAATTGCAGTATCAGGAGAGAGTAGACATGGCTCACCTGTGGGACAGTCTCTCTTCTGGACCTACCTCAACCTGAAAACCACTCTTTCCACACTGAGGCTCCCTACCATGCTTCCTCTCAACAGATGGAGGCTGTGAGGGCTAGGACTCTGCCCACTGTCAATCCCAATCCCTGATGCTTTAGAGGTTATCCCTCAGATCTATCTGGTACTGTGGAGACTACAAAGGATGAGGTTAGAATTGGCTACTCATAAAAGAGATAAAAATGGTGTGAATGGAGACAGTGCTTTGAATTTATGGAAAGAAAGCTCTGAGAATGCTCACTATGTTTGTTGTTATTTACTGAGGAAATTTTATGTCTCTCAAGGTGGAGCTGGTGCTTATGAGACATGGTCAGCTGTGCTTAAGAGTTCATAATTTTGCCTGAGTACTTCTGGACCGGCCTGGGATAATGAGGCAAGAAGTCCCTGAAGTGGCTACATAAAACTGCGACTTCTGTTCACCCCATCCCCCTGGCAGGCCACGGCTCCCATCTTTCATGGATCTTGACAGGCTGCGGAGAAAATGTGTTGAACTCTAAGTAAGAGCGTGGAGAAATAGCACCAGGCCAAAGGGCTGGAGACTTTCGCACTCTGTAGCCCCTTCTCTGTCTCCTCTTGGAAGATGTGGGAACACGGGATTTCCAGTTGGATTCCATGAGGCCTGTCCTGCATGTGCTTCCTGAGCTATGAGTGACACACTTGTCTTTTCTCCCTTCCATTGCTCCCCACATGTCATTCTACTTGTCAGTCACCTGTCATCAAACAGTACAAGGAATTGCTTCTAGTGCTTTTGAGTTGGGCAAACGCCTATTTTTCAGCTACTGAAAATGTCTCCTGCTGATCTGCGAGAAATCACTACGCACGAGGAAGCGGTTGCAGGGCAGAGTTGAAAATTACTTACGAGCATATGACCTGAGTAGAGCACCTGACTCACACTGCAACTAGTGATCAAGTGTACTCACCAATGGGACCTGCAAACCTTCCAGTGGCCTGCGAACTCTTTTGAGAAGAGCTGTTGTCCTCACAAACCCCAGGAGCAGGGCAGAGGCATTATGTGACCACAGCTTCCTAAGCTTTAGTGGCCTTAGAGCTTGGCCTCTGCTCTGCATAGGGTGGACTTGGAACGCCTGTGGAGCTGAGCCTGCCTGCTCCATTTCCCCTTCACCTGCCAGGACATAAGCCCTTTATGTTCCAAACAGGCACTCCTGCATTCATTTTCACACAAACTTCCTTTATAGAGAGTGAACGAAGGAGGGAAGGAATCAGTGCTGGCCACACACCCCGTGTGAGTCAGTGTTTCTGCCAAGTGTCTGCGAGAACGCTGAGATGTAGACTTTACATGTGACAAAATGGAAAGCCATGCTTTATGTTTCAGTCTGATGAGTTCCCTTTATCCTGAGGGCATACTGCTGTCCAGCTCAGGCTAAGGGGGCAGAAGGAGCCTTTTGGAGACACTCATTACCTAAGTGTTGAAATGTATATTGTTATCTACTCACAAAACTTTCCCCTTCAACCCCAACTCTAGCAGCTCAGACACATGAGGGTGGAAGGGAGTGCCGGATGGCTGTAAGCTCTTGGTCAGGTAGGCAGCAATCTGAATCCTCCTACCAAAACCTAGGGGCCAGGCAAACACAGGGATAGTATAGCAACTGGGGTTCCATTCTGGCTGAGCTATGTACACACCTGGTGCACTGAGCAGCATGACAGCCTTATCTGCGGGTACTCGGCACAGGTGCTCTTCTCTGAGGGTCATGTTCCTGGGACCCCCAGCTGCACTGAGCTACACACACTCCACTCTAAACAACAGGATGTTTCTCCTCCCCTTAGCAAATGATGGCACTTCTGAGTCCAAATCTTTCAGCATCTTCTCCAGACAGATGCAAGTGTATTCCCACTCAAGGTGAGTAAATTCACCAAGACTAAAATTTTCAGGAACTGGGGCAGGAGAGATGGCTCAGTGGTTAAGGGCACTGTCTGCTCTTCCAAAGGTCATGAGTTCAATTCCTGGCAACCACATGGTGGCTAACAACCATCTATAATGTGAACTGATTTCCTCTTCTGGTAGGTGAAATGCAGATATAACACTCATATACATAAAATAAATAAATCTTAAAAAATTTGTTTTTCAGGAACTGCATAAAACACGTGCCTCATCAAAATGCTACCCATGGGAAAGTCCCTTGATTAAAAGACCTAATCATTTGTTTTTTAACTTCCATATAGATTATAATTGCAAATGAAGCCTTTTTTTTTTTTTTTGCCAATTAGCATTGACTATACTCTAGACTTCATCAATAGCTTTCCCCAGAAGGAATTTACCAGGATCCCAGCAGTTTATTGATGCAGATCTGAGGGGTGGAATTCCACCAGCCTACTCTGGCTCAGCAGAGCAAACAAACAACTCAAGAATGTGTACATACATCACAATTTAAGAGAACAAAGAGATAATTCACAGCCTGGGACTTCTGTGTTAATACACTAGCATTTGCTAGCTTCACTGTGTTACAGTGTTCCTGTCTTCAAGTACAAGCAAACTCCGAATTCCAGTTGGGCTAGAAAGTTCAAATATTTGTTTACTTAGAAAATTCCAGCAAGTACTGATGCATTAAAGCAAGGTGGAGAGATGACAGGGCTGACTTCCCAATGGTGAGAAGGAGGCACCAGATTTACAAATCATGGAGACCGAGTGGCCACTACTTCACTGTGTGTTAGGCAGGGACTGGGGGCACGCTACTGTATGTTTTTAAGCCTTATTTTCTCTTCTGTAAGATGGGGAAAGCAGCTATGAAACTGCACAGATGGAAGGATGCCCATGTAACGCCTGTGAAACAGTTCCAGACATCTGCTGAAGAGCACACAGGACACATAGAGAAACCCTTACCTCACTTGCTTTTCACTCTGTCAGCATTAATCTATGGATAGGGAGCTCCTGGAGCTGGGCTTGATCATCTACGAACCATGGGAAATGCATGGGGAAAAAGTGAGATGGGAAGAGAAGACACAAAGAGAAAAAGGCCAGGGAAAGAAAAGGAAGAGTCACCGAGGAGAAGGCCACTGTATGGTAAACAGCAAGGGACAGTGGGACAGCAGTGGAAAGCACTAGCTTCTGCCTTTGTAGTGTGGTATCTGTCCCCCACACCTTAACTGAGAAAAGAAGGCTCAGTTTGGATAAGGCAGGCTGGAAGGTCAGCTCTGCTCCACATGTGTTTTCTGTGTTAACATGTGGCCCACAACTCCTGTCCACAGTGAGGAGAGTTTTGGGTCAAGCTATCCTCTGTCTATGCTGTTCAAACCTCAGATTTCAACTGTCTTTGACCACATCAAGACAAACAAATCTCGTTTTCAAATATCAGTGAAGAATACAAAGGCGGTTCCTTACCAACCATGTGAAGGATTCTGATGAAATGGTCGTTCGTTTTCTCTTTTCATTGGTCCACTCATGTTCTGTACAACTTTCTTAGTGACAACTTTCTCTCCATTCACTATCTGGCTACAAGTGGTGACCAGTTTGAACTTTCCCATTCCTTGGCTTACATATGGTACAAATGTCTCTGAGGCAGCCGGACTCAGTCTGGATCCTAGGGACCCGAAAGTAGAAAATCCTGTGTCCATGATGGGTTTGACACAAAAGAAGGGGGAAGAGGCTCTTCTGGATGTGGCCATAGGACCAGTGAACCAACAGTCACCTGAAAAGAGGTCCTCATCTTCAATGACCTTCTGGAAGGTGTGCTGTGGCCTCTGAAAGCGCATTTCTTCTTCCAAGTGGGTTTTGTCTTTACCATCACCTCTAATGTTTTCCCCTTTGGCTCGGCCATCACCTCTGATGATTTCCCCTTTGGCTTGGCCATCACCTCTGATGATTTCTCCTTCGGCATGGCCATCACCTCTGACGATTTCTCCTTCGGCATGGCCATCACTTTTGATGAGTTCACCTATGGCATGGCTATCACTTCTGATTATTTCTCCTTCACTCCTGATGATTTCTCCTTCAGCATGGCCACCACTTCTGATGATTTCTCCTTCACTCCTGATGATTTCTCCTTCAGCATGGCCATCACTTCTGATGATTTCTCCTTTGGTTTGGCCATCACTCCTGATGATTTCTCCTTCGGCAAGGCCATCACTCCTGATGATTTCTCCTTCAGCAAAGCCATCACTTCTGATGATTTCTCTTTTGGCATGGCCACCACTTTTGATGATTTCTCCTTTGGCATGGCCACCACTTTTGATGATTTCTCCTTTGGTTTGACTATAA